CATTTGAGTTGGTCTTTCAAGACTGAGTAGGATAAGTAATGGGTGAGTAGGGACTGGGAGATAAAGGCTTAGGCAAATGAAAGAAAGTGAGGAGAGGGCCCAAATATGTGAGAGAGAGAAAGGGGTATGTGGACAGAGAACATGTTCTTTGGGCCCTAATGTGTGGTGTGGGGACATATGATCATAGACCCTTTGGAACTAGATCATTGGGCCCTTAAGCATTGGACCAAGGAGTTAAGATCTCATTCTGTATGAATGGGGATCAGTGAAGGCAGATGTGAACAGAAGAAAAAGATAAGCAGTGCTATTTTCTTAAAAGTGTTATCTGCAGCAATATTTACATACGTTGAAAGAGTGAAGAACAGGAGATTGAAAACTCAGCCAAGAGGTCAGATCCATGAGAGCAGATACTTGGTTTACAACTTCTCTTCAAGAAGTGCTTGTGGAATGAACCTGGGATGCCTGAATGAGTCACAAGGGGCCATCCAGGTAGAAATGTGCAGAGGGTCAAGTCTGAACTCTCAGCTCAGTATAGAAATTAGTAACTGGCAGCATTGATTTGGGAATTGTCTGTAACTAATTAAATCTTTGAGAGGTATATAAGATGGTCAAGGAGAGAGAAAAGGTGAACAGACTAAGGGTGGAACTTTGATTAACTCCTACAGTTACAGCTAATCTAAAAGGGGAAAAACTGAGAAGGTAACAGGGAGAGATTGAAAAGGTAACTCAGAAGATTATATTGGCCCAGCAGCCAAACAAGCAGAATCTGTGCATGTCCAGGTAATAAATAGTTACTTTAAAATTTGAGATAGATTCTTTTTTTAAATCCTCACTTGAGGACATACTTAGAAAGAGAAGAAGGGAGGGAGAGAGAAATTGGGCATCAAATCCACAACCCAGGTATGTGCCCTGACCAGGAATTGAATCGGCAACCTTTCGGTGCACAGGGTGATCCCCAACCAGCTGAGCTACTCCAGCCAGGCTCGATTCTTCTTTTTTTAAGCAGACTTACTTTGAAGGATTCATAGAGTTCAGTTTTAGTAGCATTAAAAATGATTTTAACAGGTATGTAAGACAATGTTGAAGAGGTCAAGTTCAAACTAGACAAAGTATATCCTGGAAGCATGCTGGATGCAGAGAAATTTCAGAATGGCATTACCATATTTTGGAATTTAACACAATTCTTTTAGACTTATTACATCATTGAGCTAAATATGTAAGTTTAGTGTGTTATACATAGCAGTTAAGCAACGGGATAATTATATCACAAAAATTGTTTACTTTATGAATTCATATGTAATTTCTCTATTTGTGGCCTACCCTAGGATATTTTAAGTGATTATATTAAGTTTTATTTCTAGACAGTTTTTGTGAAACTTTTTTTTGCCTAAAGCAGGCACATGGTTCAGCTGTTTAAAAAAATTAAAAAGACATAAGCTCAAAAATAGGCCTTGGTTTCTTACTTTATGGCTTCAAAAATCATTCTGTATCCTCTTGATAGAGTTTACAACATCAGCTAGCAGTAGGATTTAACATTACATTTTCATTTTGATTAACTTGACTGCAATTGTTTCTTAGCTGCCTCTTTACAGCCCACTGTGGAATAAAATTAAAACCATTTTTATGATACAACAATTTAGTTGCAGAAAAAGACATTTTTCTTTTTTCCCTGAATGGCACTGTGTTTTTCCTCTAAGTTTCCTGCATGTACTCCGTGGTTCTGGTTTCTCCTCTCTTCCATTCCTCTCTCAGTACCACCAGATTAATTTTCCTAAAGTAGTGTTTTGGCTATTCTCTTACCCAACACTCTTCAGTGGCTCCCCATTGCCTCCCTCTCATCTAAGACCATCTCATCAGCCAAAGAAGGACCATCCCTAATGCTTTATATTCCTTTTAACATATTCTTGATGTTCTCTGCTAAAGTCCCCATCTCCACTCTAGATTTCTGCTTCCTCTGGCATAGCGCTCAGCATGTCCTACCGTACATGAAATTTCCTATGAATGCATCTCATCAGGGAGAATGTTGACTTCTTGAATGCAGGGACCCAATCGTCCTCGTTATATTTTTGCCCACTCCTCCATTGCTCTCTGCATAAAAGATACTCAATAAGTGCTTGTTGGTCATCAAATTGTAGACATGAAATATGCACATTCTTTGTCTAATATATCTCCAAGCTGTTTTATAAAGGCAAAATAAGTAAACAAATGTTTGCTGGATAAAATGACAAACTTGTAAACTGCTCTTCTTTCTTCTGATCCTCTTACCCTTTAACCAAAGCACCTTTCACTTTCTAATTAATTCATTTAATCATTCTTTCTAATGGTGCTTTCTCCTTCCTGATGGATAGTAAGGGTCCTAGGGCAGGGGTCTTTGTTTTGTTTTCTGATGTGTGTGCTGAGCGCTGGGAACAGTGCTTGTCATACTGGTTGAGTGAGCGAGTGAGACTTGAAGCCAAAGGGCAGTTTCTCCATTTCCTGGATTATTGTTGGTGGTTTTCAAGGCTACAGACAGTGTGGTGTTGAGAGAACAGGAGAGATAGATAGATGAG